GCTTCAATTGCTTGCCAATAGCTGCCATAGTAGATGAGAAGATTTTCTGCTGTCATGGAGGTAAATGATTCAACGAAGGTTCTACGTGTGTGTATGCCCCAAAGCAAAGGGGATCCTTCCTATTCTCAATATGCTCATTCAGTTCCTGCAAGTCTGAAAACCCTGGATGGCATCTACTCGCTCGGTCATCACCTCCGTTCACGGAAACTTTCTGGCATAAGTAGACATCAAGGATGCATATTTTATTTTTACCTGCTCATGAACACTACCTGTGTTCTTGCTGTGGGCATGCAACACTGTCAGTTTATTGCCCTTCTGTTTGACCTGTCTACTGCACCTTGGGTCATCAAGATGCTGACCCCTATTTCCTTCACTCTCAGGGGGTCCCCATAATGTGCTACCGGGCATCCTGTTTCTCAAACAGTCGGTTGAAGCTTTGTCGCTAACATTTATCGCTCGATACATGTACCTCTCGTTGGTAGAGTTACATCTACCAACGAAAAAAAAACCTCCCTCGCTCTCTCTCTCCTGGCTGGCTCTCCTGGCTGGCCTTGCGCTCTCTCCTGGCTGTCTCTCCTTCCTCATCCTCCTGGCTGGCTTTCCTCACTCTCTCCTGGCTGCCTCTCTCCTGGCTGCCTCTCTCCTGGCTGCCTCTCTCCTGGCTGCCTCTCTCCTGGCTGCCTCTCTCCTGGCTGCCTCTCTCCTGGCTGCCTCTCTCCTGGCTGTATTTTGCAAGCAGTGTAGTGCAACAGGCTGGGTAAACTAATATTCTTTGATACATTGCACTCCAACCACCAGTATCCACCAGAAAGGTGTCAGGGAGCTTGGCTCAGCAGACTCAGGCTAATAGGTAATTATGTGTGCACAGCTAAATAAATATACCAAAATTGAATAAAGGGGCCGCAATTCACACCCTTCATGATCTACCAGCATCAGCTTTGAGAGCTACTGGTAGATCACGATCTACCTAATGGGCACCCCTGGTGTATTCGCTTGGTGTACCTGGCCCTATCCCAGGTTAATTTTTGCCTGAAGTATCGTCTCTTATCTCGCTTATGCTGGTCTTGATGGCAGCTTTCTTCGTAGTTCCATATGCTCAATGTCATTCTAGGCTGTAGCAGTCTCGCTTTCTGCCTTCATGGGACACTGTCCGAGGCCTCATTTTTGGTGTTGATGGCCTTGACTTGTGGACAGTTTTCTGGTTCTTCACAAAAGATATGAAGCACGAGGGCCTTATGTCTCAGAACCATCCTAGTCTCTACCTTTGACTTTTATGCAGCACATGTTCTATTTAAATGTTCCTAAATGTCTTGCCACTGTGGGAATGTAGCTATTAGTATACTTCTCCTACAGCTTCATCTGCATGTTTGACTCTCTTGAATTCCTGAGGTGCCACTGTATGAGGTAGCCAGCTTGTTCCCCCTCCCCTCAAATCACTTGGGCCTATGAGTTAAAACGATAAGTCCCCTTTCCGGTAAGGGCTTGCTCAACTGGGAGTGATGGTAATTGAGGGCCCTCCAGCATCAAGCTTGGTTTCCCAAAACCCGCAAGGCTCTCAATTCCTCTCCATACTTTGACATGTTTTACCTGGGATGTCGTTGCTGCATCCCAGTGGTGTACTTTCACCATCAAGTTCAGCTTGTATCTTTTTGGGAGTTTTATGTGACAATTTCTTTACCATTCATACTCCTGTTTACTTTGAGGAAACTTTTTTTTTTTTTTTTCTTCCTCCCCAGGCTTACAATTTGAACATGTATATCCTTGATCTCCTGTTAAGTTTTAATTTTGGTCTAATACATGGCAATGCAGTGTTTTTGAGTTGGATTGAAATGTGCTCAACAAATGCCACATGCAGTGACTGACTGAAAAATTTTCAGAGAGCTATCCAGCCCAGTGGCGTAACAACCGGGGGTGCAGCAGGGGCGCGGGCACCGGGCGAAAAGTGAAGGGGGGGCGCCGGCCGAAAATGGCACTTTCGGCTAAATGCCGAAAGTGACATTTTCCTGC